AGTCCTGAACCTGGAAGCTTGTTTCCTCCCTTTCCTTCTTTCTCTGTTTCTCTCTGGTCAACTTAAAAAAAAAAAAAAAAGATCGTGACAATGAATAAAATTAAATAAAATAATTCTTAAAAGAAGAGACATAACATACTTAAATCATAGAATATTGTACAGTAATGAAAATGAACAAACTAAAGCTATATAATTTACAGTTAATCTATATAACAAAAAAAGAATGAATTGGAGCTCCATTGATAATGATAAATGTAGAAAATTGAAGAAAGTATCAAGATATTATAAAAAAATTAGTACAACCCCAATTATCTAAATGTCAAAAATAATGAAATTATAGTTTTAAAAATTAATTACATTGACTATGAAACTCTAAAGCAAAGCAAATTAATGATTATCATAACAATTGGCATAGTAGAGAGGAAGGAGAGGGATGGGAATGATATCATCAGGAAGAAATATATGGGGAGTGTTGGCATTAATGACAAATTCTATTTTTCAACTAAAATGAGATAATGTGAGTGTTAATATTACAATTTTTTCCTCTTACTTCGTATTTAGGTTTTATTATTTTCTACATGCGTATTACATTTCAAAAATAATAGAAATGTTTTAAAAAGCAGAAAAAAGAAAGTAATTAGTGAATATAGAATAGAGCTAAGGGCCAGCCAGTGGGGTGGTGGTTAAGATGGCTGGATCATTTCATGTGGCCAGTATTTGAGTCCTCCGCCTGGTAGATTGAAAAACATGCTGGTTGCTTCTGTGTACCTGCCCAAAATCCCAAAAGAAAGGAGAAATGCAGAAGAAGAGGTTGAGATGTGACCATCCCCCATGGAAGGTTCTTTTTCATGTTCTCTCTTCTCTCTCTATCTCTGGCAAACACATGCATCCTCTGGCAAATTAAAAATGAAGTAATAAAATAAAATTGAGCTGTAACAACATGTTATTATGAATACCGCTGAAATGAAAGGTTTTGCTAAATAATGAAGAATAGAGAATTGTAGGACCAGGAAATCCAATTTAAAATAGAAAAAATCATTTTTTAATTAATTGAAAACAGGGGGGCCAGTCCATGTTCTGGTGATTATGTGAGCTGAAGCCCACATGACTGACTGCACTGTTTGAGTCCTAGACCTAGCAGCTTGAAAATCACATCAGATGCATTTGAATGCGTGCCCAAAACCCCAACAGAAGGACAAATGGAGAAGGGATTGCTGCATGACCATTACCAATAAGGGGCGATTTCTCATTTTCTTTCTTCCTCTCTCTCTCTCTCTCCCCCTCTTTCTCTCTTTTCCTGTCTCTGTGGTCCTCTGGCAAGTACATATGTTCTCTGGCAAATTAAAAAAAAATATATATATACTTTTATATAAATATAAATATATATATATATTTTTTTTTGAAGAAAGCCATAAGTTATAATTGTACATCCATATTCTTAATGCTAATCTCAATATGATACTCCAAATATTAGATATTTAGATGTTCTGAGACACTTTTTTCTCTAATTTGCACTTTAACTATTTTATAATACACATTTCAAAGAAGCAAAAATTAGTGAATTAAAAGTGAATTCTACCATAGATATTCAATTCACTCCTAAATTTATCTATAAATTAATGATACTGGTATCTTCAAAGACCATATAATAGTCACATATTAAGAATGCATGCACGGGGACCAGCAGATGGCATAATGGACTCTCATCCCTGGACTCCCACATAGTCGACCACAGTTCAAGTACCGACTCTGTGGTTTAAAACTCACTCCGTGTGCATGCATGCCCAAAATCCTGAGAGGAGAATGGAGAAGGGATTGTGGCATGGTCATCACCCTGGAGGGGAGGGTGATTTCTTGCTTTCTGTCTCTCTGGCAAGCACATGCGCTGCACAGTAAAAATCTCTCTAAAAAAATAAAAGAATGCATGCATGTGCTTATGTGTATATATGTGTATATTGGACTATTCATGTACACATATAAGAATTGGCAAACATTTTGTTACTTTAATTTTTTTCTTTTAGTTCCTTGTCAGAGAAAACAAGACACAGACATAGTTAAATTTGTTAAAGCATAATAGTTTACTGTAATTTTTGCATGTTTGTGTACATATAGTACT